AAGGAAAGCCTTGCTGCCCCCAGTTGTCGCCCTAGGAATTCATCACAATCCAATATTCTCTTTGTCCATCTCCAGTAACTCCCTACCCCACCAAGACCATGGTGTGATGTATTTTGGCTCTTCTAATTGCTTCTTTCTCAGTTCGTTTATTATTTGTTAATAGGACATCTATGAGAAAGAATCAACCAGAAGAGGCAAAATTCGTCACGCCATGGTCTTGGTGGGGTGGGGAGTTACTGTAGATGGATGAAGAGAATATTGGATTGTGATGAATTCCTGGGGCGCCAACTGGGGGCATCAAGGCTTTGCTTATGTAGACATTAATTTGCTTTCCACTGTATTTTATCCCATAATCATTCCCCCAGAACTAGCTCGCTGAATGAGATGATGGCTAGCTAGCTAGCATAGCATTTTCGTAAAAAGAGCTTGTTGCCATCGCTTGTAGCTGCATTGTCAAATCATCAACTTACAAATTTGAACTTATTCCAACTGAACAATCATATATTATCTTTCATTTAGTCTACCATTGTATCTAAGATTGACAAAAAAACACAGGTGTGGTGTGAATTTACTGTGCAAGAGAAACCATATGCAAAACGAATTGTTAATTAAAGCAAACCATGTTTTTAACACTGTTACACTACCCAAAACCATGGCTTAAGGGTAGAGCTATAGATGCTTACAGTCGAGTAGTCATCAAATGCAGGACCGACAATTATGTCGCAAATTAACGGGAACTAATGCATCATGTGTTTGATGGTCACTCTATCCTTTGCCCCGATTTGGCTGTAGTCTACTACTATGTATGCTTGTAGATCCCCCTTTCACAAATAACAAAATATTATTATAAAAACCCTATATCCAACGCAACTGACAATCCCTTAACTAAATAAAATTAAATATGAAACAGTACAATCCTCCGATCGATTGGTCCCTAGAGGCCATCTCTCCTCGAAAGGAATACCAAACCGAGTCACATACCTCAAACTGTCTTCAATTGAAATATCGCAGGCTGGTTTCATTTTTCCCATATTCAATAGCTCATCATATCTCTCAGCCTCATCCCTCAGCATTAGGCCTTGAAAGTAATCTTCCTGAAAATCATATATCATCTTTCATTTTGTCTACCATTGTATCTAATCCTGATAAAGAAGCACCGGTGTCGGTGTGGTGTGAATTTATTGTGCAAGAGAAACCATATGTAAAGCACAATGAAAGAGATTGCCAGAATCTTCACTTCTACATGTCATACAATTATACAATCAATTATAAAGGCAACAAATAACACTGGCAAATTCAATCGAAACTGCATCCTACTTACAAGCTGCCGCAGGTTTTTCTTCGAGTCCACCAAGCCAGCCAAACAACAGTGAGCAGATACAGCACACACAAAAATAGAAACATTTAGTCCATACCATTGCATCATAATATTTAGACATTCAATCAAACAGGAAAATATGCACCTCCCCGGCAGTTGATGGCGGGTGGGGATGGCATCTCAAATCCTCACACAACTTAACAATTACATCGAAAATTAAAACTAACCTTGAAGCACATGCTTCCCTGCCTTGAGCATCCTCAGTGAAAAATCAACCTGCATCATCAGTTACTAAAATTAACAAACTTTTAGTCCATTCAACAGTCCAACTATATCAAGCATCCCTATAATACTTGTCATGCAATAAATATCCTCACGCTTTCAGATTACCAAAACATTAGAATTTAAACAAGAAAGCTTTAATTTTCTATCAAAAAACCCAAGAGTCTTTTTTTTTTAACAGAAGCTTGGGTTTTTTTTTTTTTTTTTTTTTTTTTTGGCGAACTAGAAGCTTGGGTTTTATCTGAGCTTGGCCAGCTAAAACACCAAGAACCGAACTATCTGCAATAAGTTATTCAAGACCCTTATTACCCCATTTGCATTCTACTCCTGGAAAAGCAATCTCAACTGCATAAAAAGTAAAATGTTTGTATGAATTTGTTCAGGACATATAATCCTAAAAATGTTCCTTTGTAGTGTGTGTTTATGAGAGAGAGAGAGAGAGAGAGAGAGAGAGAGCTTACTCTGCTGCACCTGATACAAATTTAAAACGAAACTCGGCATAAGGAGTTATAACAGCCATTTTTCGCATGTAATGTGATATCTTGGCCTGCACATGCCAAAAACTTTTATTACGTAAAATGGATCAAGCTTAGTGAACTGCACTGAACAACATTTTTCTAAAACTAATCACAACACATCAGATTGACATATACGGTTAAGAATGTACGAATCCGCAACGTATTAATATGTCATCAGTCGGTGACTTAGTGCACACACACGGCAACTTGTCCAATTTGGCAACTTCCTTCAATAACAACTTGGATCTCAGCTCCATGCCACCAAACCTTGTTATCCCATTTTTCATGTAAATGGACACGAGCAATGTTCCTGAAAGCATAAACAAGCATCATTATTATGATGTGTATTAACCAAACAGACACTTACAATATCTATATCCACTATCCAGTCAGGCTCTTCATAGATGACAAGAGCTCTATAGGAAGCCCTGCACTCATCCTTGACCAAATCAATGCCAGCATAAGAAAACAGAGGTCAAAACGGGGTCCTACATATGGAGCGCTATAGATAATAATAACAGAAGAATTTCATGAACATATTTGTAAATAAAAAGAAAAAAGAATTTCATGAACATGTACGTGGTATGCAAAATTGTGGGAAACAAATTCAACCTCCATTATTAACCATGCATATTCCTAGACTTTAAATTACAACAACAACAACAAATTCAACATTCAACGCTATTGCGCTCGGTTTTGTGTCATGTCCTCCGTTAGATCCAAGTACTCAAGTCTTTTCTTAGGGTCTCTTCCAAAGTTTTCCTAGGTCTTCCTCTACCCCTTCGGCCCTGAACCTCTGTCCCGTAGTCACATTCATAACAAACAAACGAAAAAAATTAATCAAATTCCCAATTCATAGGCTCCGTTTGGCTCTTGCTCCTACCTCCAGCTTCCGTTCCAAATTCCCAATTAAAATCTTCTGCCAAAAAACCGTAATCTGGGAAAAAGAAAAAATCCCCAAATTTGGAGGGAGGAGGAAGAAGAAGAAGAAGCAGCAGAGAAAGCTAGGATTTTGTTAGGTACAGCTGCATAGCCGTTTGAACTTTTGAAGGCGGACTGTGCTTTTTCATTGCGGATTTTTCTCTTTCTTTTTTTATTCCGAAGTAAGCAAAGAAAATGGAGATGTGATGAGCATGGACGGTGTCGATTGAGGGTTGGATTTGACACTTGTTGGACATGTGTGTACCCCATCAGCACTTCTCTTTGACCGTTTTTTTCTTTCGCGCCGAATGATAAGAGGGAAGGAGGACAGGCCGTTCTGTTTTCCCTCTAATATGTTGTAATTTGTACATGTGCGTGTAACACAAATTATACCTTACGGGCAAGGTTATCAAAAACACTAGGCGGACGACGGGTAAGAGTCTAGTGCCTAGGTGGATTCATGTAAATTTATTATATATTTTGTAAATAGATACATATTTACAGTGCCGTGAACAGCCTGCTGCTACAGTGTTCTAGTAAATTGTTTTCATTCTGATGCGTATCTTTTGTGCCTTTATTGTTCGTGGTTTAGTTAAATGACTCAATATAATCATAGTGTTGTTATGCATATTCGAGATACCTTATGGCTTAAGGTAGGAGAAAATTTTAATTGTGACGGAAACACGGATGGTACACCAAGTGTTTTTATTTAAGTGGTGGAAAATTTTATTTTTTAAGTTATTAACTTTTTAACACATATATCCCACTATTTACATAGCAACACGTGGTGTACCACCCCGTATGACGATCATACTGAAAAATCTCTAGTTAGGTAGGGCTTCGAAATTTTGGTACCAATCACGACCACGAAAACCGTGTAGAATCTTGTTTCGGTTTCGATTTAGGGTCGATCGTGGTTGTTCAAGATCTATTTGGATCAGGCCCATCAATTAATTCGGTCTAGTTCTATTTGGGCTCATCATTTGGACCTGGCCCATGATCGAACCCTGTAATTGTTATTTTATTTTGGAAAACACCTAACTCTTCAAATTTCTATAAAATAAAATGATACTTACACCCATATATACAACTATTGTAAAACACGGTGTTCAACAAGTTAAAATCGTTCTCACGCCTACACTTACCTTTTTTTTTATCTTTTATTCTGATGAAAAAAATACAACGGATGAAAAATATTGCATCCTCTATTGATATATCACAATCTAAGTCATCTTACCCGTATTGCAAAGGAATTCATTTTTCTCTTTAAGGCCATCTCCAACCGAAAGGGCTAAGTATAGTCTCGTCTAGAATTATAGCCCTGTAAAATATTATTTGTAAATGAACAGTGTCAGACTATATTTATATACCATCTCCAACAGAAAGGGGCTAACATAGGCCCTCAATCATTTATTATTTTTAAGTTTGTTCTTTAACTTATTGGTACTGTTACATGTTGGTATTGTTACATATTTTTAAGTTTGAAGACCAATACCAAACCAAAATTTCGGTATTCTCAATTTTCAGGATTCTCGAAATATTTTCGGTATTTCGGGATGGTTTGGTATTCCCAAATTTCATACAAATTGAAATAACAATCATTTATAACAAGTTAAATTAACATGCAACCAAAATAACAAGTAACAAACCCAAAAGCAAAAAAATAAGTTACAAACCTAATATGTTTGAAAACTAACAATACAATTTTTTGATTTTGCGTTGAAAAAATAGACACATTTGTGGGAGATTCGTACATGCAAATGTGGCGATAAAGGGCTATGATTACTACCTGTGAACTTATATTGCTACTAGTAGTTAGCAACCGTTCAAATGTATAATAATATGTATATATATATGTGTGTGTGTGTGTATATATATATATATATATATAAAGATTGAACCATTCCAAGAAGAAAGTTTCCAAGTGATTTCCAAATATATAAAGATTGAAAAGAGACTTGCCGTCCTCCCAAGTATAAAACCTGAAAAATACCTGTCCTCCCAAATAAAAAACCTGAAAAATACTTGGCCCGTTGTCCCAGAGTCAGCAAACCATGACACATATCTTCGACCTGACTCCTAATTTAATCACTAGAAGTCTCTGTAGTTGCCGTGCTGCAGATTATTCTTTCAGTGATTAGGAAAGATATTATAGTTTTAAGTGATGTTTAATCCATTTATTGAGAGTTTGGTCAGCAGTTTGATCAATCTGTAGCCTTTTAGCAAAACACTCAAATTACCATGGCTTTTGCTCTGCTATATCTTCTTTGCTTCTTCCTTTCCATGATTCTCCCATGTTCCATCCTAGCTCAATCTTCTGGAAACATTTCTTTAGCCTCATCTCTCACTGCACTAAATGATGATAACTCGTCATCATGGACATCACCTTCTGGTGACTTTGCCTTCGGTTTTCGAAGAATTGGAAAATATGGGTTCCTACTAGCCATCTGGTTCAATAAGATACCAGAGAAAACTGTTGTCTGGTCAGCCAATGGGGACAATCTTGTGCAGCAAGGATCCCAATGTGTACTTACAAGTGAAGGCCAGCTTATGCTCAATGACGCAACGGGCCAGCAAATATGGTATGCTAATTCTGCTAACGCAGAAGTGTTTTATGCAGCCATACTTGACAGTGGAAATTTTGTTCTGGCCAACCGAATGTCAATTAATTTGTGGGAGAGTTTTGATGAACCAACTGATACAATCCTACCCACACAGACTCTAAGTCAAAACAGCATGCTCTTTGCTCGCTACACGGCAACAAATTACTCACGGGGAAGATTCATGTTTACGCTTCAATCTGACGGAAATCTCTTGCTTTACACAACGAGATTCCCACTGGAGACAAAGAATTATGCTTACAGTGCAACCATGACTATGTATACCGGCTTTCAGGTCATCTTCAATCAGTCCGGCTCTATTTACCTTACTGCACAGAATGGAAGCATACTGAAAATGATATCATCCAACACAGTTTCGATGCAAAATTTCTACCAGAAAGCAACTGTGGAGCATGATGGAGTTTTGAGGCACTCTGTTCACCCCAAAACCGCTGCATCAAGTGCTGGAAAACCCATGGCTTGGTCCCCTTTGATCTCCGAACCTTCGAATATTTGCTCAAGAATTGTAGGAGCCATAGGTAGTGGTGCATGTGGATACAACAGCTTATGCAGTTATGATGATAAAGGACCAACCTGCCAATGTCCTTATGGCTACACATTTATTGATCCCAATGATGTCTTGAAAGGATGCAAGCAAAACTTTGTTTCACAAAGTTGTGATGAGGCCTTGCCGGAGACAGAGGATTTTTATTTTCACGAGATGCAAAACGCAGAGTGGTTTGACGGTGATTATGAGCAGTTTACATCGGTACCTGAGGATTGGTGCAGACAGAATTGCTTAGCTGATTGTTTTTGTGTCGTTGCCATTTTCAAGGAAGGAGAGTGTGTGAAGAAAAGAATTCCTCTTTCGAATGGGAGGATGGACACAAGTATTGGTGGAACAGCTCTCATCAAAGTAAGGAAAGGCAACTTTACTTTGAAACCTGAAGGTCCAAATACGAAAAAGAAAGATTACTCAACCTTGATCCTCATCGGATCAGTGCTCCTGAGTAGCTCGGGATTTCTGAACTTGATTTTGCTATTAACAACCTATTTGGTTGTTTCTCATATTTCTTACAGAAAAGCAAGGGTGATTCAACCTCACTCAGTCATGCCAGGTATGAATATGAAATGTTTCACTTATGAGGAGCTAAACGAAGCTACTAATGGATTCAAGGAAGAACTAGGTCAGGGTTCTTTTGCTACAGTTTTTAAAGGAGTTTTAGGATTTGATAATGGGAAATCTGTTGCTGTCAAAAGATTGGACACTATGGTTGGAGAAAATGAGCCGGAATTCAAAGCTGAAGTGAGCGCAATTGGTAGAACAAACCACAGAAATTTAGTCCAACTGCTTGGGTTCTGCAATGAAGGGGAGCACCGAATTCTTGTCTACGAGTTTATGAGTAATGGTTCACTAGCAAGCTTCCTCTTTGGAGAGTCAAGGCTGAAATGGTACCAGCGACAGAAAATTGCCTTGGGTACTGCAAGAGGGCTGTTGTATTTGCATGAGGAGTGTAACAGCCAAATCATACATTGTGACATTAAGCCTCAAAACATTCTTCTAGACGATTCTTTCACTGCAAAAATTTCTGACTTTGGATTGGCCAAGCTTTTGGGAACGGACCAAACTCGAACTACTACTCGAATCAGGGGAACCAAAGGTTATGTAGCCCCTGAATGGTTCAAAAACATGCCTATCACAATGAAGGTGGATGTTTACAGCTATGGCATTTTGTTACTAGAAATTATTTGTTGCAGGAAGAATTTTGAAGAGCATGCGGATGATGTAGATCAGCTGATACTAGCTTATTGGGCATATGATTGCTATATGCAAAAGGAGCTGCATTTGTTATTGGAGAAGGACGATGAAGCGATGGAAGACGTCAAGATGATGGAGAATTACGTGATGATTGCAATGTGGTGCATTCAGGAGGACCCATCACTGAGACCGACGATGAAGAAAGTCATGCAGATGCTTGAAGGAACTGTTGAAGTCTCAGTTCCACCGGATCCATCGTCATTTATGAGTGAAATAGTTTAAGTGGTTGTTTCTTTATTATTTGATCATCGAAACTCAAAATCTTGAACTTTGTAGTTCATAGATAGTCCTTTATAATTTTTTGTTGAAAGAATAATTGTACACGTTGAAGAAAGTTTTATGTTCCATCGTATTTGCGCATTCAATAGCATACATTTTCCATCCAAGTTAAGTTCCTTTAAAGCAACACAATAACAATAGTCAAAACATGCTTGGGAAATTTGTAAATTTTTTTTACTTTCCTGTCTAGAAGGTTGAATATACAAAAAGGTCCAATGCTTAGTATAAAGTATGTAACAAAAAGGTTCAACGCGTATATATTTTTGGGACAAAAAGGTTTAACGCGTATATATTTTTGGGAATATTTAGGGTTTGTATTAAATCAATAAAAGTTACAATATTAATAACATATTAACAATATTTATGTTAATTATTAATAGTCAATCATGTGCTGTGATACTTAAATACATTTAATATAAACAAAATTCACAAAATCTGCCACTACTCTTGGCACCCACTACAGCTGGCACCCCATTCTCATTTTTTTATTTATATTTTAGTATAGGGTCAATATGAATTCAAACACTGCATTGCATTTTATGTTACGCAAAATTTGTAAATTCAGAATTTGCATTACAATTTTTTATTTATTATAGTCAAATTAGGGAAATCTAATATTCGAATGGTATATTAAAAAATCCAACATTAGATGAGACTAGTCAAACATAAACAGATAAACTGCAACGCATAGACTGAATCCAAAAGAAAAAAAAATAAAAAAAATAGAAACATTGCAGTGTAGGCATGCCATGATCCCAAGATACTTCCAGGATCGAAACGTGACCTTAGGACGTAACTATACAAAAACATAAAAATCAAACTAGATTCGGTACTTCAATAAAATATATAAACAAAGTACCTAATAAACAATGTTAGTCACTTAATATTACGGTATAGTAGTATTCATCTTCATGTTGAATTAGTGGCCAAGTGGCCAAAAACCTTTCGGTGCATATAATAAAAAATGAATGACATAATGATGTGGGAACATTATGAGGAGACAAATGATTATGTTTGTTGAAAAGAAAAAGGAAAGTCATGATGATATTTGTAGAGGAAAGATTTTTTCCTTTACTTTGGATTTTTTATTGGATGCTTTATGATGGATGAATGTGTGCAACCGAGTGTGAGAGAGTGAGTATACACGATTTTTGTTTTAGTAGCCCATCTTTGAGAGAGCAAAGGTAGCTGCAGAGAGCAGAAAACTGAGAGCAGGAAAGAAGAATAAAGTGCTCCTCTCTTTGGTTAGTAATCATCCACCAAGGTAGTTGTTGTTGTAATAACTTGGAGCTTTGTATTGAGAAGAAATTAATCACTATATTTCTTTCTCTATTTGTTTCTTTGGTGCGTGAGAGCTATTGATTGTATTGAGATTTTTGGGTTGTGAGCTTGCCAACACTTTGTAAACTCCCATTTGGTTGATAGTGGATTATTGGGTGAGCTCATACTGCTCCGATGACGTACTCCAGTTACACTGACTGTTGAGGAACCTTGTTAAAATCTTGGTGTTCTTTTATAATTTGTTCTTACATTCCATTTGATATATTTCATGTGGGTTAGCAATAGTTGGTTCCATAAGGTTTGGTGCTATCCTAGTACAACACTTCACTTATAAATGAGAGGTCTTGGATTCGATTCTCGCCAAATGCAAATTTGAACAACATTATTGTTAACCCATTGTGAAGCTTAGCTCATCCCCTCCTCTTTCAAAACAATAATAATAAAAATAAAAAAATAAAAAATTCCCGTAGGCTTGCAAAGTGAAGTACTAAAATGAAAGGTAAATAAAGGCAAGGAACCTAGTCACTCTAGATGCTCAACACTAACACAGCTACCTCCCACATATCTAACGATTCCTATCAACCTATAAAACTACTACTGCAATGTGAAAATGGTGCACCGGGTAAATAAAACTCAGATAAGCTGCCAAACTGAAGTAGTAGTATCTCATGTATCTAACGATTCATGTCAACCTCTTATAAGCTTCATTTCATTGATACAACTCCTTAACCTTCACAACCTCACATGTCATCTCATGTGTGGCGAATTTTCAAGCAAAAAACGTGGACAACACAAATTAAGTGCAACGGAGCACGCGTAGCCGTTAGGCTTCACACGTAGGCCAACCTACTCTTATACCATGAAAATAGCTGAGGTTCCTCCATTGATAATTCCTCTATTTTTTCAGACGGGCCATGTTTTATACAACTGATAATTCCTCTATTTATTCGGATATTTTAAGAGAATTATGTACATTCAATACCATACAGTACGTTAAGAGCAAAGAGTACTTGAAAATGAAAAATACACAAACTTATGATATACAAAAGAAATGGGATTATTATTGGAAGAACTTAAAGTATTGAACTTATGAAAGAAGATGGATCGGGTGGAGCTGAGACTTCGACGGTTCCTTCGAGCATCAATGTGACTTTCTTCATGTTAGGTCTAAGCGATGGATCCTCCTGAATGCACCATATTGCAATCATCACATACTTCTCCACCATCTTCATGTCATGCATTGCCTCATCGTTATTCTTGAATAGCTGGTGCAGCTGATTCTGCTTATAGCAATCGTACGCCCAATCAGCTAATATCGTTGGACCTTCATCCTCAGCCGCTGCCTCGAAATGCTTCCTGCAGAAAATAATCTCTAACAACAGAATTCCGTAACTGTAAATATCAACCTTGGCCGTGATAGGCAACCTTTTGAACCATTCAGGGGCCACATAACCTTTTGTTCCCCTGATTCTGGTCATGGTTAGAGTCTGGTCGATTCTCAAAAGCTTTGCTAAACCGAAGTCAGAAATTTTTGCAGTGAGAGAGTCATCAAGAAGAATGTTTTGAGGCTTGATGTCGCAATGTATGATTTGGCTGCTACTTTCCTCGTGCAAATACAACAGCCCTCTTGCAATTTCCAAGGCGATTTGCCTCCTTTGGTACCAGTTTGGCATCGACTCTCCAAAGAGGACACCTGCTAAAGATCCGTTGCTCATAAACTCATACACAAGAATTCGGTGCTCTCCCTCGTAACAAAATCCGAGTAGCTGGACTAAATTTCTGTGGTTTGTTCTGCCAATAGCACTTACTTCCGCTTTGAATTCCAAATCATTTTCTCCGACCCTAGCGTCTAAGCTTTTGACAGCAACGCTCTTCCCATTATCTGAGGCTAGAACTCCTTTGAAAACTATTGCAGAACCACCGCGTCCTAGTTCTTCCTTGAATTGGCTCGTAGCATTGTTTAGCTCCTCATAAGTGAAATGCTTCAAATTCACACCAGAGATGACTGGATGAGTTTGACTCACCTTCGCTTTTCTCGAATAGGATCGCGAGACAACCAAATAGGTAATCAATGGTAGGAGGAAGTTTAGAACCCCAGAGCCACTCAGGATGGCTGATCCGAAAAGGATCAAAGTTTTATGGTCTTTCTTTTCTGTGTTGGTACCACATTTCACAGTCGAATTTTGTTTCCCAACTTTTATCAGAGTTTTTCCAGTATTACTGGGGTCAATTGCCCCATTAGAGAAAGGGAGTCTCTTCTTCCAACACTGTCCACCGCTGTTGTAAACTGCCGCAGCACAAAAACAATCATCTAGGCAATTTTGTCGGCACCAATCCTCAGATACACTCTCAAAAAGCGCGTAGTCTCCGCCCCAACAATTTGCGTTTTTCAGCTCTTGAAATTCGAAAAGATCTGTCTCCTCCTTTGACGTTTCACCACAACTCTGTGGAGCAAAGTTTTGCTTGCATCCTCTGCGCTCATCCTCTGGATCAATAAAGGAGTAACCATTTGGACACTGGCAAGTCGGTCCTTGATCTTCAATCGTGCAAAAGCTGTTAAAGCCACATGCACCACCGCCCCTAGATTCCATAATCGACGTGCAGATGTTTGGAGGTTCGTATGAGGAAGTGGACCAAGTCATATTCCATCTTCCAGAGCTCGAGCTGGTGTTTTTCGGGTAAACATAGTGCCTAAATACTCCATTATACTCTAGTGTTGCTCTCTGGTAAAAATCTTTCATTGAAACCATATTGGATGATATGGTGCTGAGTAAGCTTCCATTCTTGGCTGTGACGTAAATAAGGCCAGACTGGTTGAAGATGACCTGAAACCCAATATTTGGATTTTCCATCGACCAATACTCTTCATTGGGCGTATTTTGTGGGAACTTTGTAGTCGCAAGTACAAGATTCCCATCAGGTTTTAGCGAAAACAGGAATCTACCAGTCGAGTAATTTGTTGCCGTGTAGCGCGCATAGAGTATGCCATTCTGATTTAGAGTTTGTGAGGGTAGAATTGTATCGGTTGGATGACTAAAGCTTTCCCACACATTGGATGAACTTCGATTCACCAGCACAAAATTTCCGGTGTTTAGCATGGATGCATAGGCAACTCCACTACCGGCAGATTCAGCGGACCATATTTGCTCGCCAGATGCATCATTGAGAATAAACTCGCCATCGGCCGTAAGCTCCACTTTGGATCCCTTTGGCACTAGTTTATCCCGATTGGCTGACCAGACAATAGTTTGATTTGGTATCTTATCGAACCAAATGGCTAGTAGGAACCCATCTTTTGCTACTTCTCGAAAGCCGAAAGCAAATTCACCAGATGGTGATGGCCAGGATAAGTCACCATCTTTTAGTGCAGTGAGGGATGAGCCTAAAGAAATGTTTTTGGAAGTTTGAGCTAGGGTGGAAAATGGTAGAAACATTAAAAGGAAGAAGAGAAGATTTATCAGTGGACAAGCCATGGCAAAATTACAGAGGGACTCTGTTTCAATCAATTGCAATGTTTTTTTTTTCATCCTCAGTATGAAATAAAAAACTTAGCTGCTGGATGACGATGTGATTTCTTCGTATTAAATAAGAGGATCAAACCACAACAAGGTCAACAATGAGCTCATTTTCGTGAATGATTCAATTTCTGCATGGCGTGTAAGATTGTTCTTTTACTTATTTAGCGAGATGCATGGTTGAAAGTTCAAGACACTATTAATTTTTTTAATGAATAGTATGTTATGGATTTGAAAAAAGTTGACCTTCCACACTGTGACACTATAAAACAATTTAATTGATAAGGATAAATTGCACAAAACTACTTCAATTATATGTCAAATAACAATTTCATACATCATGTTTTAAACATTACAATATCATACCTTAATTTACTATAATAGATTTTAGTTAAGGGACTATTGTTCCAAATTAATTAAAGTTAAAAGACTAAAAAGGTCGTATCTAGTGCACAAGGCTCCCGCTTTACGCAGGATCTGGGAGAGGTGAATGTCGGCTAGCCTTACCCCCATTTATGGAGAGGCTGCTCCCAAGTCTCGAACCCGAGACCTACCGCTCATGGGCGAAGGCACTTGCCATCGCACCAAGTGCGACCTCTAATTAAAGTTAAAAGACTATTACTATAATTTACTCTGTGTGAAAAGTGGGTGTTATGAACAAGGTTCTAAAAAACGCTAGGCGCTAGTCGGGCGACGGGCTGGCGCCTAGCGCCTAGGCGGCTAGGCGAGATCTAGGCGGGCGCCTAGGCGTCCTAGGGGAATTTAGGTAGATTTCTTATATATTTTATGAATTAATTAAATTTACTATATCAAATGTAAATAATTATTGACTAATATGTTATTTCTTATAAAAAAAACATACATATGTGAATGTTTTATGTACATATATAATATGAGATAGAAATCTTTGTTGCTGGACGACTACGCGATTTCTTCTGATTAAATTAGAGGATCAAGCAACAACCAGGTCAACATTGAGCTCATTTTCTTCTGAACTGGATTCCTTCCGGACTCAAAAAATTTGAGCTTAAGAATCAAATAATCTGGACCATTGAAATTTGATCAAATGACTACAAATATAGGGCATCTCTAAAGTTATAATAATTGTAACCGTTAGATCAAATTTCAATGATCCAGATTATTTGATCTTTAAGCTCAGTTCCTTTAGATCCCGAGAGATCCGGATCCATTTTCTTCAACGATTGAGTTCCTTGACTTTGGTCAAGTCCTTTTTTGTCCAGATTTTTCCCAGGCATTACTTGGAAACTGCCTTCTTTGACTCTTTACGTACTCTTATCAATTTCCGCATGAGCTGTAAGATAATTTACTTTTTTGAATATTCCGAAATATGGATGGACGACAGTTCAAGTCATTATTAAACTTTTTGAATATTGAAAAGTATGTTATGGACGTGAAAGAAAGTTATAATTAGTAATATAGAGAGTAGCCAAACTTATTTATATGATTGTTCAAAATTTCTTTTCTTATAAATATGAGATTCATTTTAAAACGACAAAGTAGTGGTTACTTTATCTGATGCACTGTGTAGAGTGACAAATCATATTACTCTATCACTTTCTCAATAATAAAATTACAATAGGAACTATCAAATTTACTCAATTAAAATGTTAGTGTGGACATGCGATAAGTAAGGTGCTTAATTATAATGTAAAATTCGAGTTAACCTCTATTAACACATATTTAATTTGATGAGCATGTTTTATAATAATGATCTAGAAGAACTTGGATGACAAGAGCAGTACGGGAAGACGATTGAGGATGCGTTGGCATTGTTAGAAAGCCTGTGGTAGAGAATATAGGATGGGAATTGGTACTTATGGCTTTATAGCATAGCCTGGTTAGTGAACCCTAGTTTATATTGTGAACTATAGTTTACTTACTACTCACTAGAGCTTTTGGGCCCGTTTGTTTGACCGGATTAGGAGGGACTGAACTGGACTAGACTGTAGTCCCTTGTTTGTTCCACAACCGGACTAACTTTAGTGGGATTACCTTTCACTTGCCTCGACTAAGGGGATCGCTAGATCGTCTTAGCGAGACCCCCCGAATACCAGTGGACTAGTAAGACCGTCATCTCTCTCGTCGTCCCGCTCTGCTCCATAACCTTGTCGGACCATTCCACGACCAACGCTGCGTCCTCATAAGTCTCTCAGGGCTTCCTCTTCCACTTCCTCTTCTTCGTTTTCTTCGATTTTGTTATGAAGATTCGTGAAATTGTTAGTGGGTTTTGAACGATTTCTGGGTTTAATCGATTATGGGTTTTGATTTACTTGTGGGATTTCTGCATTTTGATTTATTTATGGGATTTCTAGGTTTTGATTGATTTCTGGGTATTAATTTGATCCACAAATCAATCATATTGTTTTAGGAGAATATTTGATCCTGCAAAGAACAATCGTCTTCTTCTGAGAAAATCGTTCCGTGCATGTCTTTCGAGAGGCCCTGTTGTTATTCCCAACATCGATCTCGTCGGTTATGCCTATCAATTCGAGTAAGTTTGCTGCTTAATCTGTATGTTTTTTCTGTCATGTTTATTTTGTGTTAGTTGCATAGAAAGTTATGGAAATTAAATGGTGGAAAGAACTTATTGTCCAAGCAATATTTACATAAAATCGCGAAAGCCATTCATGTACAGGTTATAGTTTTGTTTTAATGGTTTTTTTCTGCAGGGCTGTCTTGAACTTATGTCACGGAGTGGGATAAGCATAAAGGGAAAGAAGGCAGTGATTGTTGGCAGAAGTAACATTGTTGGATTACCAGTTTCATTGCTGCTTTTGAAAGCAGATGCTACTGTTAACGTAGTCCATTCCCGCACACCTGATCCAGAGAGTTTCATTCGCGAAGCGGACATTATTATTGCTGCAGTAGGACAAGCAATGATGGTAGGCAATTCATAGATTATAGTTCATTGGTATGTCGTAACATCGTCTTATGACATGCATGTGTTATCTTATCTCGTATTTTTTGGCTTTCCATGAAAAAATCTAGTACTTAGTTTCGTTCTAGTTAGAATAATAGGACTAGTTGTTTGGTTCCATTCATCCCAAGTGAAGGAAAAAGGACATTCCATCGTTCACTTTGGAGTTGTAAGACAATGCATTAGAAATTTATAAGCTTTCACTAGGCTTTATTGTTGCTTAAATTGAATAACTGACATCTGCTGGTGCAGATAGCATTGCGTCGGTTCTGTACTTTCCTTGTCTTCGTCTCGTGGCGATTATTGTTTATGTTTTAACTCAATGAAATCTGTTTACTATCATTTTTGTTATTATATTTCCTTGTTGAATTTCAGATCAAGGGTAGTTGTGTAAAACCAGGTGCTGCTGTCATTGTTGTCAGCACAAATGCTATAGACGACCCGAGTAGAAAGTCGGGCTATAGATTGGTTGGAGATGTAGATTTCTAGGAAGCATGTAAGGTAGCCGGATGGGTAACTCTTGTTCCTGGTGGCGTCGGACCAATGACGGTGGCAATGTTGCTCAAGAACACTTTGGATGGTGCAAAACATGATATTGCTCAATAAAGCCACCCTTGTCCTTTGCAGAGTACTTTATTAGCCAGGTAACATTTTATATTTTGTATGTGTTATTCTGCTATGTTTTCTTCATAGCCCTTGCAATTAAGATGAGTTTTAGGTGTTTAAGCAATGCGGTCATGTTTATTCAGGATGTTGAGGTATCTAGCAATGAGTTTGAACCTTCATAATGAGATATACTATATGCAAAAGAGGTCGCTAAGGAAATGGATCGGCTTTCATAGAATTGTCTCTTGATTATCAGAGTCCCATGTCTGAAACCCACACAGAAAATCTGGAAGCTCCACCCCACCTCTAACCAAGTAATGCTATTATGTGTGATCATATAATTCATGGGGATTTTCCTATTTAACATGGAATGTCTCTTGGGGATTTCTTACTAATTTCTTTTTTTCTTACCGCAACTATTGCTCCACTGACATTAACAGCCGTTGGCAACGGTTGTTGGTCGTTGGGAGAAGGACTTTAGGTAAAGAACAACCTTGGAGAAGAACTAGAACAAGAAAGAACAAGTTTGGATAAGTAGAACTGGTTTGGTTTTGTCGTCGGTCTCGTGCGGCGCCGGCGTCGAAGAGGAATGCACCTAGGATCTATCTTGCAAAAGAACGGAGAATTAGATGGAGATCTCAACCATAGAATACAAGCTGGATGGATGAAGTGGAAGAGTGCATCCGGCGTGTGTGTGACCGCCGTATGCCACTGAAGCTCAAGGGAAAATTTTATAGGACGGCAATAAGGCCGGCGATGCTGTATGGCACAGAATGTTGGGCGGTGAAACATCAACACGTACACAAAATGGGTGTAGCGGAGATGAGGATGCTCCGTTGGATGTGTGGGCACACGAGAAAGGATAAGATTAGGAATGAGGATATCCGGGGTAAAGTAGGAGTAGCCGAAATTGAAGGAAAGATGAGAGAAAATCGGTTACGGTGGTTTGGACATGTGCAAAGAAGGCCTACTGACGCTCCGATTAGAAGATGCGACTATGGGACAGAGGTTCAGGGCCGAAGGGGTAGAGGAAGACCTAGGAAAACTTTGGAAGAGACTCTAAGAAAAGACTTAGAGTACTTGGATCTAACGAAGGACATGACACAGGATCGAGCACAATGGCGTTCTAAGATTCATATAGCCGATCCCACTCAGTGACTTGGATTTTCCAAGTCTCCAACCAAGAAGTTTTCCTCACTCGGGAAATTAAGGGAACACTACCCCAACCTACATGCTCCACTCAGAAAGCTTCAACATACAAGCTTCAACAAAAGAAAATTCAAAGAACTTAGCGAAGAAGGCTTTGGTGTATTTAACACAATACGTTGAAATGAAGGAAAGCTTATTTATTGATATCCCCGATAAGCTACAAATATGTACATATACATGAGTCAAAATAAACACACAAGAGGGAGCCTTCACAAAGGTTGCTTAGGAGAAGTCTCAGCAGTCGGTAGAGCCCCAGAAAGAGAAGGCACCGGAGGGGGATCATTTGGAGCCTCAGTACTAGACAGAACCCTAGAAGGAGGAGGCATCA